CCACCTCTTCCATGTCTTTGGCCTATTTTGCTTGGAGAAAATTATATTAAAATATGCATTTGACACAGAGGTTACATGCTTTTCATAATTATTCATCTAGTGAGTTGTGGAGAAGGAATTCAAATTCAGTATGAAATACAGGGGACATGACAAAGAGAGATGAGAAAGGGGGAAGGAAGCAGGTGAGGGAGGGGAGAGGAAGGAGAAAGGAAGAGATGATGAAGTGAATAGGAAGCCCTACATTTTCTCAAAGTTTTTTAACTTAAGCATATTAAGAGGTATAAACGTGAGGTAAACCAAACTTTCTAAAACTTAAATTCATTCAATTTCTCTATACAGGGAAATAAAAATGGAGGCGGTCTTGTTGGGGAGGTGAACAACCTGGGTAATGATAATGACAGTGATGATAACAATAATAAATAACCTGACAGGCTACCTCTCGTGCACTACATCTGTTGATAGGCACATTGCTTACGTGATTGCTACCACAGTTTCACTAGACACAGAATCCTCTATCCAGCAGATAAAATAATATGCATTTCCAGCCATTTAGAATGCTATTCAGTGACTAATTCTTTTTGAGGAATACTTTATATGAGTCTTAAATAAATATAAAAGTTCTTCAATCAGGCGTATGATTGATTTTCCCAGAATCCTCTGTATAGTGCAATGTGGCTCACTCACTGCACATCTGCCAATGGGTCCCAGCCAAATGCTGACCCTCATGGCCCTCGGTGGGTCTGTAGCCCCTGGGCCAACCACAGCCAACAGGGAGTCGATGCGGCTGTCAGCAGCCACCTCGGTTCACCGTGTTCCACAATGCTTCCATTTATTTTGGCATCTATGCCATGAAAATGGTTGAGTAGTGCTGGTATAACAACTCATTGTCAAGTTTGCTAAAAAAATATCACAACCTATGGAATATAATAATTTTTCATCTTGTGTTGAATTTAGTTATCTTGTAAAAATACCACAGAGTCCAAACTATTTATATATGATAGATATGTTGTGACTGCAAACTTCATTTATTCATGTCTCCTGCTCATCTTTCTCTTTCACCTCTCCTTCAGCTCCTTCAGCCTTTCCAGTAATATTCCTCATACTGAGATAGAAATAGACATGGCACCTACATTCCGAAAGAGCAGCTCTCAGTCTGGATGTTTGCATTCCCAGGCCTTGGTTTGATTTCAAATAATTCTGCCCACCCACAGCATTCCAGAGTGCTAACACTTTGTACCATGAGGAGGCATAAATTAATATGTACTGGTAGAACATTCTTTCTAGTTTTCTGAAGATTTTAGCTCTCTGTGAATGTCCCTGAAAGACAGAGACACATATTTATGGTTCCATAACTGGAGACTCAAATATGGAAGAATAAATCATGAAGACACTTTGAGACCTGGGAGAAGGAACATTTCATGGCAGGTAGAATATTGGATCTAAACAGTGACTTGGAAATCATATCATTCAACCACATCCTTTGAGGAATGATTAAATTGAAAGGCTCAGAGGAAATGTTAAAGATCCTTGAACCCGGAATAAGGATATCTGGGCAACAGATGCAGCTGTGCCCCTTTCCGTGTGTCCTTGGGCAGAGAACTCCAGTCTCAGTGCTGATTTTCCATTTGTTAAATAAAAAGGTTTGGCACAATTATCTCTGCGATTACTTCAAGCTTTAATGTTCTATGTTGCGAATTTAGATGGTGTTTCCTTACTTTCCATTTAAACCCTTATTGCTTTATTATGTTTACATTTTCTCAAAGTTATTTAACTTAATAAGCAATTCTATGCTTATTACCATGTGGGCTTAGCATCTGTCTATTTGCTACGAAATAACTAAGGGAAGAAAATCATGTTTGGAGCATTTCTCTTGAGATTATTGAAAGTGCTCTGGGATATTTCTAAACAAAGACTGGAATCCCTAGAAGTCGAGCTTCTAAGACAAAGGTGTTGATGCAAACATCTAAGGAGCTTGTAAAGCGGATAGCAGAACCTAACTGGAGCACACGTGAAGAATCAGGCATCTAAGGCGGAGAAAGCACCAACACAGGTTGAGAATTAGAGAATAAAACTTTCTATACTTATCTGGCTCATTATGGAAGAGTAGATGCTGAATATTGGGAGAATTCCATTTAGATTACACTGAAATTGTTTACACCAGAACCAAAGAGTCCTAGTGAGCACACTATAATGGGAGTAGATAGGAATTTGCCTCATGTTTTCATCATGCAAACTTTTTCTGACTACACTTGTGTGACCAAGACAAACACATGTGTCACATATGTTTCCATTACAAGTCTCTCCACACCCGTCACATCTCCTTTCTTCAGGTCATTGCAGATGCGCTTTGGAAGCCCATTTTAAAAGACCCCGCGATTTCCCCATCCCTGGATGCTCTAATAAGCTAGACTAATTACAACCCCACCTCCACTGGGAGCGGTATCCTTGGAGACAGCAGCGGGTGCTGGAGCCCAGTTGGAATACCAGGACACGTGGGAATGGGAACAGTGCAAGAGCAACGGGCAGATGGAGAAAAGAGAAAAGGGGTCAGGAGGCAGGAGTCATTAGGAACAGCAGAGAGAGGGATGCAGATTAGAAAGAGGAGGGGCAGGAGAAGCAGGAGAGGGGAAAGGCAGACCCCACTAATGGCAAACATACCATAGACTTCCTAGCACGCGGCTGGTGGGGAGAGAATGGGGTAATGCTGAAAAGAACTGTGTTAAAGAAAGTGTGATATTTATTTTACTGATACAATTTCTATTATTTTACTGCCAACTATATGTCCAAAGTAAGCTGGAAAGAAATGCATGAGAAATACGCCTGGAAGCATGTGGCCCCCTTTCATTTACTGGATCAGGAAAGGAGGGGAGCAAGCCCCCCACAGCTGGCTGGGTAGTTCCCCCCCCCCTTTTTTTTTAGCATCTGAAGATAGGTGGAAATCTGTATGAAGTGACCTTATGGCAAACAGCCACTCATGATACCCTAGAAGCCAATGACTCTTTTATCACAAGGGTGTGTGACATTAGTCAGACTAACAGCAGTCCTTGAAACATGTCTGTATGTTCTATTAACGGCCTTATGTTGGAGTTCGAAGGCACTGAGTGCCTCTGTACCCTCCTCTCTGCAAGAATGAACTCTGGCTGAAGTGCAGTGTTGAGCAATGAGATCACTCCTGGGGCAGAAGTGGGTGTGGGAGGCCGGTTTCCAGGCACCTTCTCTATGGTGACGGGTCACTTATAGTAATACATCATGGCATGTAGTACCTTCCAGAGCTGAAGTTGCTTAGCTCCAGGAATTTCATCTTCTCTTAAAAGTATCCCTCTGAGGTAAAAAAGTAGGTAGAATAACCTATTTTAATATACTGAGAAACAGGAGTTCAAGAAAGTAATTTGCTCCATATGACATAGAAAATTTAACTATAATTAGATCTTAACAAAGGTTATAATGGCAAAGTGTCTCTGCAACGAAGATTTGTTTTCTAATCTCTCTCTTCTTTGCCTATCCAGCATCCACTTATAAGGCGCATTCACTATTCCTAAATCAGAAAATGAAGAACACTTCCTGCCCTGGTCTAGGTCATTTTCTCCATGACTCAGGTGTTAGAAAATAAAGTTTAAGGAAGGAAAGGGTTGGGCTGAGGAATCCTCGGAGATCAGGACACTGTCCTCAAAGAGGACAGTAGTGGAGTCTAAAAGTTGACTCCAATTTCTGGGTCCAATGGGTGTAAATGAGGGAAGATAGGACACATGCTTATATTTAGGAATAAGAAACAATGCTATCTTTCACCCATCTGTCCTCTTTGGAAATGCAAGACAGAAAAATAAGGTGCCTTTGAAAGCTTCACAATAAGGTTTTCTCCCTTTGTTTTCTAGGGTGTAGAAGCATTGGATTTTCTGAAACACATATGAACTCCCAGCTGACTTGTCTGTAAACATTTAAATCACCCCATACTTTAAAATTTAAAAACCAAGCTTATATAAAATTATGTATTTTCTTTGTAATGCACAATATCCCTTTTTTAGATAACAAAATATGTGTTAAGTAAACTCCACAATAGGAAAGTAAGAAGATGCAAATTAATAATGTATATTAATTTTCTAAAAAAGAAAATTACCTTTAACTCTCAAAAGAATCACATTCCTTTTACATGAAAATTTTATAAAATGAAATAAATTAGGCCATTAGAGAATTTAAGTATAGTGAAAAACATGCGATTTCAAATTACCCTGTTTGTTTCTATTAAATGGTATCATTCAGATGCTGGAACAATGAAGGATCGAGCAAGTAAGAATAATTTATCTTTACAAAACTACATTAAAAAGCTGAATAACCCACTGATCTAGATAACATCTTGCAAAATTTTATGGGGCAAAAATTAAGTAGCTGATCTTCTTCAAAATTTTACATGTGTTATTATGTCCACAAGTCATGTGGATGGATTTCAGCTGAGAAGATGAATTACACAGAGTCAAACCATCCAACAAATGATACCAATACTGGCTTGACTGAATTAAATGTAGATGACCAAAAGCATCATTTATAGGAAATTTCATGAGACATTGAAATGACATTTGAGATACAATTAAAACAACATTTGGCAAGTTGATTTCTTTGAAGTGGTAAATTTGTAAAGTGTCTAAAGATGAACATTGGTGAGCAGCTGGAGAAGTAGCTGAGATGAGCATTTCCTCTGCCCTGACAGACCACAGCAGGAAATGGAACTGCGTGATTTCCAGAGGATGCACGCTTTGTGGAGAGCAGATGGGTGCCTGCTAAGGCTCCAGCCTGACTCCTACTTCATCCCAAATCCTCCCTGATCAGACTCTCACACCTTTCAAAAAATGGCCATATCCTCAAAATTCTATAGTCAACTCTCTAAATCCCAATAGTTGCTGGCATGTGGGTGACTTGTAAAGTTCATAGGCAAAGAATATTTAAATCCACATGTGATGATAAAGTCTTACATCCACTCTTCAAACTTAGCAGCAAATGCAGTTTTTTTAGAAGGCAGTTATCCTTCCTGAGGGCAAGTACCTCCCCAGCGCCTTCTGTAGGGCCCCTGTGACATCCATGTTCCTGAAGCCGTAGATTAGTGGGCTGAGAAGGGCAGTGAGGGTAGTGTAGAAGGCAGACACAGCCTTGTCCTGTTCGGGGGTGTGGTAAGAGTGAGGCAGCACGTGGGTGTACATGGCGGCTCCATAGAACAGGCTGCCAGCTACCATGTGTGAGGAGCAAGTGGCCACTGCCTTTCCCCTCCGTCTGCCTCACTCATTCTGTGGACTGTGATGAGAATCCTTGTGTAAGAGGCTGAGATGGCGGAGAAAGGGATGAGGAGCATGGTGATGCAGCAGACACACATGGCCGCCTCATAATCTGAGGTGACCGTGCAGGAGAGTTTCAGGAGTGCGGGGACCTCACAGAAGAAGTGGTTGATTTCCCTAGAGGCACGGAAAGGGAACTGCATGGCGACTGGTGTGAGCAAGAAGCCGTCTACAGACTCTCCCAGCCAGGCTGCCAGCACAATGAGTAAGCAGACATTGCAGCTCATGAGGGCAGGACAGCGGAGGGGGTGGCAGACGGCCACGTAGCGGTCATAGGCCATGAGGCCCAGCAGGAAGCACTCGGCGCCTGCCCAGGTCAAGTAGAGGAAGTTCTGGGCAGTGCAGGCTGCGCAGGAGCTGGCCCGCTGGCCCACCATCCAGTCCACCAGCACCTCAGGCTCAATGGTGGAGATGTACAGGAGGTCCAGGAGCGCGAGCTGGCGGAGCAGGAAGCACATGGGGGTGTGGAGGGGGGGTCCCGGGGATGACGGTGATCATGGTGGTGCTGCTGGCTATGGAAATGGCAAAGCCCAGGAGGATGAGGACAAAAAGGAGCCAGGGAAAGAGGCCGTTCCCAGAAGGACAAAGTCATCGTACACAGAATAGCTGCCCTGCTCCATGGCTCTGCAGGTTACATGAAAGAGAGGTGGATATGGTGGGTGAAGTTGGACCCAAAAGATAAATATTTGATTTGCTTCAAGTATTGTCATACAGCCATGGACAAAGCGAGACATACTAATCATATCTCATTATGTAATTTCCCCCTTTTTCTAATACTTCCTGGGCTTGATTCCAGCTAATGGGCTGCTTTGAGAAATTGGTCTTTGTCCTTTGGGTCCTAAGTAAGTCCCACCCCCAGGGATGAAGTTGGGAACTTGAAGTGACTGGGACAGCCTGAACGGTTACGTCACCCAACGCCATCACCCATTCAAGGCTGATATGTTTGATTTGCTGACTATTACTTCTGAACTTAAAGGTCATGATGAAACTACTTTGTGTCTTTGGACTCAAAAACATTTATTTGTTTTTTTGTTTTGTTCACACGCAATCTTACATTGAGGAGGAAATACCTAAAAGAGAAAACATAGAACTTGTCATACTGGATAGGGATGGACTGGTGGGTAATAAAAGGATGGAATTCCCGACTTATATACTTCTTCCCCTCCACTAGACTCCAGTTCTCACAATTGGAAATCAGTTTGAAGATTTCTCCAGAGCGTATATTTTGCCTGTGAAAAGATAACAACCTTGACTAATTTTACCTAATTTACACTATTCTTCCCAGAGTTGTACATCATAAAATGTGAGTGCTTAACATACATTCATTAGGTATTGTATATTTGAAAATAATGATTCCCTGTTGGATTAAGAAACATGAACTCTCTGAGCTTTTAGAGGCAATCTAAGAAATCTTAGAAAGAAGATAATAAGAGAAATATTTGGGGTCAGATAATGTTTATTTTCCTTCTTTTAGCAGAAAACTGATAATATACAACTGATCAACATAATTAGTGAGATGGTAGCAAAAACTAATGAATAACTTTTTTAATAGAAAAATGAATGGGAGAGAAACTGATTTAAATGATGCTGGAGGACATTGCCTCCCAAAAGAGAAGCTTCCCTACATAAACCTGAATTTTAGTTTACTAGATTTGTGCCTCTATAGCTATTTCAGATAATATTTCACCACACTTATGAACCGGTAGATTATTTAACAGAAGGTTTCCACTGACATCGGGTAGATCTATGCTGTGTCTTATGTTAGCCAGCAGTGATGTGGACTATTGGGGACCTGGGACATGGCTGTTCTGAATGGAGATGTGCTATAAGCAAAAATTACATTGATGATTCAAAGACAGTGTGAAAAACGATATGCAACATATAGCATTAACATGTATATGGAATATATACTGAAATGGTATTCTGGATATGTCTGTCTAAATAACATAGGTTAAAATTAGTTTTATATATTTCTTTTTACATTTTTAATGTGGCTTCTGGAAAATTTTAAATGACCTCTGTGGCCCCTATCAGAGTTCTACTGGAAAGTAGTGATAGGAGAGCTTTCTTTTCCCAGAATATTATAGTTCCAAATAGCTCCTCCAATCAAGTTCCCCAGAACTGAATACAATCCAAATTAGAAAAAAAAAATCAGACAAAAAAAAATCAGGTGTAACAGCAAATTGGAAAATGTAATGATGTTACCTCTAAATGGACTCACCTGAAAATAGCAGTAAGGACACATTAACAGAGTGCTTAGTGCTTCATAAATATTATTTAAACTAACTTTTCTGAACACCCTAACAAAATGCTACATGTTGTTTTTTTCTATTCTACAGATGAAAAAAATGAGCCTTAAGGAGGTTAGGAAATTCCTCAATTTCACGTGACTCTAGTTAATCAGTGGCAGATAATTTCTCCATGGTATTTTCTAATAAGCCAAAGTACACATCAATTTATTCATTTTACAAGTATTTCCTGAGGCACACTGGTCAAAGTATTAAATTCTGAAAGGACCTCAAAGAATACACAAAGGACCCCTGCCTTCAGAGAGCTTAGAATTAAGGAAAATTTAGGTCCCTTGTATAGCTGCAGGTGCACTTTAAGAATACTTTTATTTAGGCACTTTGGGGTTTTTAATTTCCCTGGAGAATGTGGAAAGGTAAGAATTTTGTGAGGACAATGGGAGTGATATGAGCTGAAGTCCAGTGGTTGGTTCGTAAGAAATTCATACCAAGGTTTCTGTACATTTCACCAAAACAACCGAGATCTATCATGATATATGGACCTAGAACTATGAAAAGTAAATTCACAGACAGACTTTCACTGATGAGACCCACCTCATATCTTTATAGATTTTTCAACTGTCTCAATCTTGAAATATCATCAGCTTCACGTAGGGCTCCCACCAGCTGTTTCTGGATGGGTGTCCTTGTTCAATTGCTGCCTTTATTTTCTTCTCCTGCTGTGCTAAAGCACTGGGGAAATTAAAAGCAATTCTCATCAGCAATCCGCATGATGGAGAGAGAGGGCGATGCCCCCTCCGACCTGCCTGTCAGATGTCCCCAGGGAACGGGCCCCGCAGAGGCCTTTGCTCATTGTTTCCACATAAAGTCAGTGCTTGGTAGATACGGGGCGCTGTGACTGCTGTCGGTCCATGGGGAATGTTAAAGCTTGGAAGAGTAGGTGGGCCCCAACAGCCCTCGCAGGGAATGCTGTTCCCAGCCGTGCCCACGCATGGTCCCGGCACCGAAAACCACTAATGAGGCACTGGAGATCGCTCCGCATTCCTCACAAAGAGAAAAGGAATCGGGCAGCTCCGCGATTCCTCAGATTTTAAAAGCAGCCTTCTCCCACTCTGTCCATGTTGACTTGTGCAGTGTGTTTAATATTATTTCCAAATAGTATTAAAAATATTTGGAAAATAAGAAAATGGAAAGGAATCACTTGGCACACTCCATGCCCCCATACAATAGCTATTTATATGTCTATGCATAATTCTTTATTTTAATATATGTTCAACATTGTTTATATATGTATTTGTATTAAGTCCTCTTTAAGTATACCTATTCCATGTAGAGTTGCGATTTTACACACACTGTCATATGGTTGAATGATGTAACATACACTTAATTATTCCTCAATTGTGCACATTCCTGTTGCTTCTAAGTATACTTAAAATGTACAATACGGTGTGTTAATTTTATGGGATAGGCTGTGGGAGTGGCTTACTAGGCTACTAGGCTTACTCACCAAATTATACAGCTGATGGCCCATGACAATGGAAGGACAACTGTGGCGTGGTGCTGACAGTGTATGTGTATAGTCTTTCTATTTGTTTTTATATATCTATATTCCACATAGATAGTGGTCGTTTTACTATTTATTTTGGGATTCCATTGTTCATAACCTTTGCCCTTTTCTGAATTGGGGATTTCTCAAAAATTAGCATCTCTTTTTAAGGAATAAGGGCATTCTTATGCATATGATATGTATTGCAACTATTTCATCCAAACTATTACTTGAAACTGTAACTTTTGACTTCTAGGCCAAAAATGTTTACACTGTTATGTAGTTAAGTTTGTTTTGGACAGTTATTCTTTAAAGATGTCTGTGATTAAGATGTAATTCTATTTTAATCCAGTTATAATACTATTTAAAATGTGTAGTATCATAATAAATATAGAATCTATGCTGCTCTTTGTTGGAAATTTTAAGACTATGAGTTTCTATACAAGGTCAAAAGTAAAATAAATTTTTCTCCTCAGACCATGCCAGTGAGCCCTAATTTTGGCTGATCCAAAGAGCTGAAATGTGAATGAGGAATAGGGATAAGGAATAGCCTCACTTCTTTCTGCTGAAATGGAGAACACATCATAATAGGCAAGTTCAGTTTTCACCCACATTATGTGCATAAATGCCGGCATAAAAAGTGGGTCTTAGGTTGGTCATACATGAAATCATAATCCAGTGACTGCTGCATTCTGGAATCTCCCTTGTGCTTTCCATGTCTATTCTCTCCAAAAATAACAGATCCCAAAGCATCTAGCTAGTTTCTTTTCCCTTTTTATGTAGTTACTCTCCTATCAAATGCTTCTCTGTGTCAAAGACTGGCACAGCCTTAGTGACCCTGACCTCAGGTGTTTGCCAGCCAGCCAGGACATGAGGATAACTGGCGTTAGTGTGGAAGGACCTGGGCACTCAGAGAGGAAGGGTAACCCTCACTGGAAGCCACTTAACTCCATGTTAGTAAAGAAATAAAACTCTTTAAAGGGTGGAGGAATTTTGACAGAAGTGAAGGGCCCCCCTTCACTCTGAAAGCACAGGAGTGGCAGGGTACCCTTCACAGTTAGGTCTCAAGAGAAGGCGAGCTGAGGTCTTCCACTGTTTCTGCCATGGAAACCTATTTTCATCAGCATTTAGTATGTAATAGTGTGAATACTAAACAATATTTGGGATCAGAAACCTGCTTTCACTTCCTGTCTTTATCCCTTACAAGCTGGAGGTCTAGCAAGCCACTCATATTTTCTGTCCTATATGCCTCTAAGAACTTTTAAGTGTAAAATAAGAAACTGAAGTAGAGCAGTTTCCTATAAAGCAGGATATGTTGGATTTTCCTAGCTTAATCATCTTCAAAGAGCTCCATGAATATCCTGAGGATATGGAATACTGTAAACAAATTAGATAAACTCCTGTCCCTGTAAACACTTCAAAATTATTGTAAGTGAATACATTTTTTCAACAATGTAAATTTTGTTGAAGCCTTGCTTTGAAATAAATCTGTATAGCAGTTTCTTGAGCAATCACCTACATTCTGATGTTCCCAATAGAGAATTGAGTCTATCATATCAGCTGAGAGAAGAAATAAGATCAAAGGATATAAAATTTGCATGAGTAACACAGATTCATGATATCTATAATTAGAATACTGAGGCATTTGAACCACTAACAGGTGTCTGGTTTGAATTAGCTTCCCAATAAATAAATCCAGAATCTGATACTTCAACCATCCCATGATTGGCAAAAAGTCCTCACACATCACTTACCTCCCACAGTAGCCTCCTCTAGAGATGATGGTCTAAAATGAAGGTTAAATATCTACTGTCCAAAGAAAAATCAT